CGAATTTCTCCTTACCGTGAGTACTCGCAGTTGGATGCGCAGAAATCCCCCATAAAGCTGTGCGAATCTCGCTTACCACGACTGCAGCTAAACTACACGATTCCTGCCCATCCAACTACTTTTAGCTTCTGTTGAGATGTGGGTGATTGGAGCTCCCTATACCTGGAAATGATCACACGACACTTTCAGATTGCTGTTGGAATTCACATAGCGGAAGTTTTCATTCTCCCCTTTGGTTTTATTACAAATACACATATGCCCCCCCACATGAATAAGGTCAAACCCCTCCCACAGAACAATGCAATGGGGAGTGCCTATACACAGGATGTACATTCCGATTGGAGCATAGCCTTTCCTATTATCTATCACTGGTCCTCCCCCATGAGCCCTCTGAGGTCAGCAGACTTCCTCCCCTTCCCCCCCATGAGCCCTCTATGGAGAGCATATTTCCCAGCTCCTAGCAGTATGTCCATTCCCTGTACAAGCATCCCCTAGGAACATCAGTCTGTACCTGGATGGGCCCGATACAATCTTTATTAAAACACATCCATCCAGATACAGTTCAGATTGGTAATGGGTTGTAAGATATGCATAAGCCTACATGCGGAGTTCGTACCGCTTGGCGCCTTGCGTTATGAAGTCCATGTGGTACTATGCTGCTGATATGTGGATACAGGCCCGCGGTCTACTGCCAGCGGCATTCGCATCGAATGCCGTGGTGGTATACACGCCGGTCTATAAGCGCAGATCCGCCATCTCATCCATTACCGAGCTGAGTACTGTAATACATACATTGTACATGCGCATGGCCCAATTGCAGCCTTCAGAGCTTTAATTAAGCCACACGAGAGACATATGAATAACACTCATATACAGTATGACACATTTAAAGTTCAACCAACAATACAAAATTTCCATGACAGGGGGCACCTCAGGCTTTTATTTTTGTTAACTTATGCATGGGGATCCCTGTTAAAATCCATACTGGACCCTAAGGTAGTATAGAATTTGAGCTGAACTTCAAGCTTTTTTTTTTGTTTGGGGTCCTGCTTAAAATTTAAGACCTGAAGGGCCTGGTAAGAATTATGGTGGAACTCCCATGCCATTTCTTTTAAACTAACCTCAACTCCTTCGTTTACATGGTCGTGGATTCCAAGCCAGTAAATTAATGGAGCTGGGTGGCATCATTTGCTAAAGATGCAGCTTACTTAAAGCAGAGCTCCATCCAACAGGGGAAGTTCCACTTTCCGCTTTAAGCCTTTGTCTCCCGCTCCCCATTAAGGATTGACACCTTTGGGGAGAGGGGGGGAGGAGGTACCCGAATCTGATAGGTACCTGCTCCCACTTCTGCTGCAATTGCCTAGGCAATCGGAAGCGGAAGTTGTCCTCCCCCTCTCCCTCCCCGTAGTCTTCTGGGACACGTGAAATATCCCAGAAGACTATGGGGCCATTCACAAAGCTCAGCGCTACTCGTGCATGCACAGTGGGCACCCGGCTGTGAAGCTGTCACAGCCGGGTGCCCACACTGAAGATGCTGGCGCCAGGGAAAGAAGACACCAGTGAAAACAGCGGTGGTGAGGACACCGCTGAACTGAGGAACAGGTAAGTGGCTGTATTTTAAAAGTATGGGCAGCACAGTGGATAAATGGTTAGCACTTCCACCTGGCAGTACTAGGGTCGCTGGTTCGAATCCCAACCACGGCACCACCTGCCTGGAGTTTGCATGTTTCCTCCGGGTACTCTGTGTTTTTCCTCCCACACTCCAAAGACATGCTGGTAGGTTAATTGGATCCTGTCTAAAATTGGCCAATGTATGATGAATGTGAGTTAGGGACCTTAGATTGTACACCCCTTGATGGTTAGGGACTGATGTGAATGTACAATATATATATGTAAAGCACTGCGTAAATTGATGGTGCTATATAAGTACCTAAAATAAATAAATAAAAGTCAGCAGATACAGTTTTTGAAGCTGCTGACTTTTTTTTTTCAGGTGGAACTTCGCTTTAACAGCTATTGACAGGCAGGAAAAAGAAAGCTATCATATGTAGTAGCGGGAGAAAAACCTGCTACTATATGCATGTGATGTTTAGCTCCAGTCCAGCATTCAAGCAAACACCAAAATAAGTCAAGTGTGGTCCAAACTTATGTTCAGACCACACCAGGAGCTCATCTCTACATATCATTATCTGCAACTGTATTCCTCAATATAAAGTGGTAAATATAAAATGGTATTGATGAACTGAGCTGGTCTGCATCATGTGAAAGGGATGCTTATTATTCTTAGTTTGTGCTTTAATTAAGAATATACCAAGTTACCAAGAATAATATATAGCATCTTATACCACAAACACAGAATATAAATATTCAAGGGTCTCTATATATAGCAATCAGGGTTTCTTACTAGACACTACTGTACAAGGTTTTGCCGTATTATCTATCCGCCAGTAGCAAGCGTCTAATTTTGCTGAGATCAGAGACAAACGGTTTCAGAAATGTTTGATTTGCATTCTTCTTCACAAAGTTGCTTATCTCTGCAACATTTACTGACTAGTAATTACTTAGAGTATATGACAGTCTAAACAGATATGATGAATGGTTTTATCATTCACCAATGATTGGTCCTGTTTACTTCCAACACTTCTTAAATGCTCATATCAAGCATCATTCCAGGTTATCATTTAACAAGTTTTTATTTCTTGACATCTATGCCACACGATCTAAGGTATGTTTCACATTGTATTTTATTTAGTTATTTAGGTAACTTGTGTCCTGATCTGGCTCTTTAAGAGTTAATGATTGTATTAGAATTTCATGTTTTCATTGTTCAAAAGGAAAAAAAAAAGGATTATTAAAAACAATAAACTGTATAGAGATAGGAATGTTTTTGCACATTTGCACATAAAGAATATCATAAAATTAAATTCTACAAGATAAATATTTTTAAAGTTTTTGTTAATTGTAAGGATATACTATCTGACAACAAATCCACACAGTGCTTCAATCAACAACGCCACTGTAAGGTGATTCAATTTATAATTGTAACCTAGATTACTGTGTATTGTCAGTTTTCAATATTAAATATATTTATAAGGTTAAATATGTCTTTATTAAAGGTCATATATATATATATATATATATATAAATACCATAACACATTAATAAAGTGGGGAAAAATTAGGGGAAGTATAGCAATTGCTGATCAATAATGCTTACAGCATACTTTAGTATGCTGTATAGTAGATAGTATAGTTAGGACAGTAAAGCATGGACAGCATTGTAGGAACAATTTTTTAGAGGAGCCTTTGCTTACAATGAGGGAAAGTAATAAAGTATATAGAATAATGAATAGGGAGGAAAATAACGGGTGTGAGGCATTACAAGATTGAGAAAAGGATGGGTGGGCTACCCATTTCTACGGCTTAAGTAATCTACTAAAGAAAAGAGTCTACTGTTAAATAAAAATTGTTAAAATATATTTATTAGGGCATGACTTGAATTAAAAGGTAAAGTGAATGTAGAATAAACCATAGCGGCTTTTCCTTCAAATATGATGGGAATTGAGCATTGTGGAAATACATAAACTCTCTAAGTAGGACACAACATTAGTAATAATAAGAGTGAGATGCCCTGAGGGGCAAAATATTAAAGGAAACTGTACTTTAACTCTGATTGCTAACTCTATGGACATTCAAAAAAATCCTGTTGCCTTTTTTGTTGTTCATAATCTTGGGAGATATTTTTGTCTTCAAGTTTTTTGTGCGGTTTTTATGAGGTCACTGGTCACTTTTAGCTGCTGTCTATAGCAAATGTTTTTTTTTTGCAACACTGTACCCTAAAAAAAATTAGATGATGTTTAGGGGGGGGTGATATTTGGGGGTTTTAATTTCATTTGGTTATTGGCTGAAGTTTAGAAAATTTCTCATGCATAGTTTAAAGACAGATTTTATTTTTACAAGAGCTTCACTTTGGAAATGGAAATGTTTATTTTTTTAATTTAGTTCCTGAATAAATGGTACAAATAATTATTATCTGCTAATTTCTTCTCTAGAGATTGTGAAATGATGATATCTTTTCTGTTGCTCACCCTCCAATTTTCTATTGCATTTACCGTAAGTTATCAAACATTAGAATTAACATTTTCAATATTGCTTTTCAATTCTGTTGCTTGTAATAGAAAAACTAATCAGAAAACTCTTTTCTCACATAGATGCCATTCCCATACAGAGGAAGCAAGCAACAGTGAAGAGGTAGGAAAATGTGCAGCTTTTGCCAATTTTATCAATAATTTTATTAAACATGCATCAATATGCAACAGTGCCAATTTTAGGGGAGTCAGTTTAATATCAATCTGCTTTTTCAGCTTCAGTCTGTGCTATCTTGATTTCTTTTTGCAGTTGTTTTCATGTTCCTTTTATTTCCCCAATAAATTATCAGTATTCTCAACCTTTAGGAAATTAATTCATATTAAACAGCATATTCTCCCAGGGTTAGATAGCTACCATGAAGCGTGTTGCTAAACTGAGCTAAGCTGAGCTTTTTTGGGATTGAGCCCAATGCTTTGTAACTGGATTTTGGATTTTCTGGCTGATAGGCAGCAGATAGTAAATGTTGGTAATTGTTACTCGTCCCTTAGTACAGGGGTCCCACAGGGATATGTACTAAGCCCTTTTCTGTTTATTTTTTTTACATTTATGATTGTGTTTCTCACTTCGAGGGGGACTCTTCACAGATGACACCAAAGATAACGCCACATTAAAATTCACAGATTCACATTAGTGTGGAAAATAAGGGACAACGACGTGTCTGCATATCGCCAGGATATTGAAAATCTAGTTGGATGGTGCAGAGCAGGGGTGGACTGACCATTTGGAAACTCGGGCACTGCCCCAGGGCCCGGGATCAGTAGGGGGCCCCATGAGATGCCCCTGGTACCTTTTTCATAGGCTTTTTTGAGCTTGGGCAAGGACACAGGGGCCCCATGATCCCCTATTGCCCAGGGGCCCCATGAGTTGTCAGTCCGCCCCTGATGCAGAGAGAACAACTTACATGTAGCAAAGACAAAGGAGATGAGTATTGTTTTTAGGAAAGTAAAGGAGGTTAGTTATGAGCTGGTGGTGAATAATGGGATGGAGGTTCAGAGGGTAGAGGAGTCCTGCTTCCTGGGAACAATAATTAGGGGAGGACCTGTCATGGACAGGGCATATATTCCACCTGGTGGACAAGGCTCATCAGAGACTGTACTTTATGAGGAAGCTATAGAGGGCAGGATTTTCAGAGTGAGTCCTTTTTAGCTTCTATAAAGCTGCCATTGAATGTGTGTTCATGTATCACATTTCTTTGTGGCAAGGTTCATGCATGGTCAATGAAAGAAATGCCTTGCAGAGGGTGATAAAAAACTGCACAGAAGGCTATTGCAGGAGTTAGTCTACCAAGTATTGATGAATAGGGGAGGGGAGGGGAGGTGTCTTCGGAAAAAATGATTAATATATTTGGAAGATACTTCACATCCTGGTAATGATCTATATACATTTCTACAGTCTTGTAGGTGGTATAGAAGTATTTGCTCTCGTACCACCAGGTTATGGAATAGCTTATTTCCTTGATCTGTGCAGCTCTTGAATGCTAGAGGTTTTGAGGCATAAAGGATTGGAATCATGTTTTATTACAGTATACAGTGGCATCCCTAGGTGGGTGTGGGGGGTGTGTGCCACACCGGGTGATACCTATCACATGGGGTGGCACCAAAAAGTTTTAAAGCAAGCCAACGATCCTCGCAAGATGGATCGGATCTGCGGTACCACATGGTGTCACCCCTCTGATCTTGCAACACCAGTCCTGACAGTATGTATATTGTTATCCGTTAGTGTTTTTATGTTGTGCGTGGAATTCCATTTTTTAATGTGAGGGAGATATAACTGTGTTTCATTTTATGATTGTTATTGTAAAAATTACATTTTCTGATTCTGAATTACTCTCCTTTGCTACCCCGTCATATCTAAAAACCTTCCTGTTTAGTCATACTGTATAGGATTTCCTTTATTCTTAGAGACTTTGTTTCTAAAGGAATGTAGTTGTTAGAGTATTTTCCTTTTAAAATAATTTTGCAATTTGGTTTCAATGTTTTTTTTTTCAGGTACACCTAGTCTGCAAGACTTCATGTTCTCTGAGTTTACATTTTGTTTTCCTAAAGTTCATAGATTTTAGATTCAACTTGAGTCGCACAGAATCAAATGACCAGAGCAATCACATTATTTCCAATGGCACATGTTCACCTCAAAGCAACTCCATGCAGTGCGATTTTAGAAAAGGTTCCTGTGCTACTTTGGTGCAATTTACAGTGCAAATTGGCTCTACAGAATATGCAATCGACATCCAAAATGAAACCAATGTCGCATCAAAGTTGCGCTGCGAACTGCGTCACAATCGCATCACAGTAGTGTGAACCAAGCCTAGGTGTTCTCAGATCCATATATTTGTATGGTATCTGATCTATTAACTTGATCAGATCTAGCAGAGGTTTCCTTCTAGTTACAATTACATAATTTATATTTATCCATATGGACACCACACTGTCACAGATATCTTCATTCATAGCTGGTCTAAAACAAACGTTTACAGAAAACCCCCTTTTTTGTATTTTCTGTCCTTTCTAAACTTGCTATATCTTTCCAAATGAATTATCCAGTCATGAAAATTATCCACGTAGGTTTTAGATATTCTTGGTAAGTCATAATCTTTGACATTTATCAGCAGTTATGCACATGCATTTATTACTTCTTTACTGTTCCTGCTAACATTTCTGCACTAATGAAGTAATTTCCAACGCTGAAATATCCTGTTCACATTGCAAATTTCAGGCCCAGCCATATGGACCATACAACCATTTAAATCTACAGGTAAGGAGATACACCCCAAACATGTGTTGTTATTTAAAATATCACTTTTTGTTACAGGTTATATAATTACAAATGCATTTTTAAGGTGGGCTTATTAGATTTGGGCCCCTCCTCCAGCTAAAATAGTTACATGCAGGTAGCTGAAAATTGTAAGAAAGAAAGGTTAAGCTGGCCATACATGGATTGAAATATGACCAATTCAGCAGGGACTGGCCAAATTTCAATTTATGAATAGACACTGTAGTTGTACAGAAATTGACTTCTGTACAACTGTCCTATTGAATTTTCCTTGCTCGATCAGCACTGCAGGCTATAGACTTCAGAGCTGATCAGTGTATTCTGATGGCAGGGAAGACTCCCCACTGTGAAGATACAATAGCTTAGTGGGGAGAATTCCCCTATCCACCTTAAATGTGTGGATGGGGGACTCTAAAGCAACCATTACTTTAGTCTTTTTTTTTTTTTTCGTTCAACCAGTGGGTTGGACAAAAAAAAAAAACTGACTTGATTCCCTCATCCACACATTCAAGGTGGATGTGGGAATTCTTCCTGGTGAGCTATTATATTCTGACAGTGGGGAGACTTTCCCACAGACAGAATACACTGATAAGCGCTGCAGTCTGTAGCCTGCAGTGCTGATTGAGCAAGGAAAATTCAACAGGTCAGTTGTACAGAAATCTGTTGGTGGATGGATTTCTGTACAACATCAGTGTCTATACATAGATTGAAATCTGGCCAGTCTTTGTTCATGTATGGCCAGAATCTCTGTGGAAGGAGGCTGACATCACCCTCGCCTAGGTGCCATGGGTGAACGAAAAGTGGTAAGGGAAGTTTGTAATCTAAAGCAGCCCATACATTAGTCAGTTTTTTTTTTCACTCAACCAGCGTGTTGAACAAAAAAAAAAACTGACCCAATTCCCCAATCTGCCTTGAATGTGGTGTTGAACAAAAAAAAAAAACTGACCCAATTCCTCAATCTGCCTTGAATGTGTGGATGGGGAAATTGGGTCAGTTTTTTTTTTTTGTTCAACCAGCAGATGAAACAAAAAAAGCTGTCTAATCTATGGGCTGTTTTAGATTACAAACTTACTTTACCACTATCATTCACCCGTGGCTCCTAGGAAGGGGTGATATTAGCCTCCTTACATAGAGATCCTGGGGAATACAGAGCATCCCAAATCTCACAAGATGTTTTTGTACTGGACTGGCATGTCTACTTGCAGGATTTGGGGTACTCATCCCCAGGAATATTCCCAGGAAGATAATGAGGTCACTCCCTGCAATGCAAAAGATGGGGGTAAGTATATAACCTTTTTTTTCCTTTTAACTACCTTCAGTATATGCTGTAATTTTTATAGGGGAAGGGGCCTGGATCTAAAAGCATACATTGCATTTTGCACCATGGTTCCCTTTAAAGATGAAATGTAGTTGTTTTCTTTTTACCCAACTACTAATGAAGTATGTCCCATGTCATGAAGGCTGATGGTTCCTGTGGAAATCTTTTTTGCAGTGATGCCCAGTCCACTTCACAGCTAGGTGTTGCAGGGGTTAATAGCTTCAGGTTTAACATTGCAGTATATTGAAGAAGGTCAAGATGGGTGCCTACTTCTTTCTGTCCTCTCCTCCTCGTCCTTGCATTGTTTTCACAGGATGTAAGATTTTCTGTAAGTGGGGGAGAGGATACTGCCATTCATTGGCCTCTCCCCCATTCACAGAACCTGTTACATCCTGTAAAAACAATGCAATGGAGCAGAAGAGAAAAAGGGGTGGGCACCCATCCTGATCTTCTTCAATGTACATCATTGTTAGACCCAAAGCTTTTAGCTCCCACAGCACTGGAAGCACATATTTCATATCTATGTGACTGTAAAAAAAAACTAAACTTCAACTTAAATTTGCAAAAAAAGAAGCCCAAAGCAGGATACTATTAAAGTGTATGCAATGACAATTTTTTTTTTTTTAGTTTGGATAAAGCAGGGAAGGATTAGAATCTCTGTCAAGTTTGTATCGCTGTCCCCACTGGGAAGATTTACCCCTATGTTTGTCTGGGTGACCACTGCAAGTGAGCCAGAAAATGTTTGGAAATCCAAACTTTTAGAGTTGTCACCAGAGCAAGAGCTGTCTAAGTGACAGCTGTCTAAGACAGGAAATCCAGTCACTTTGGTGATATTTCCTCTCATTTCCAGTTGCCTTTTCAGGTCCGGAAGTGAAAGGAAATCTCCCCCAGGCAGCAGAAAATAACCTCATATGGGGGCAGTGGTGTATTTAGGTTGTGTGCTGCCCTAGGCAACACAAAAATCAGCCCCCCCCTCAGAGAGACCTTGACACCGACCAACACCCCCCCCCCTCCTCCACAAAGAGAGCCTGACATTGACTAACAACACCCCAGCCCCCCACCCCCACCAGAGAGTGCCTTCCACTACCACCACCTCCCATACACTGGCAACCCCCCCACCCCGGCAAGAGAGAAGACACTCACCTTCACAGCTCCGGACATCCCCACGAACAAGAGTCAGACTCTGTATACACCATCAAGCAGCCTGCAGCCTCTCTCAGATCCCACCTGGTCCCCATGCTGCGTGTGTCCCTTCTTCCATCCCTTCTTTCAGGGGGCTGCACTTCCCCCCTGAAAAATGCTGCTGTCCCCCTGAAAAATGCTGTCCTAGGCAACACAAAACTTGCCCCCCCCCCCCCAGGAGAGACCCTGATACCGACCAACACCCCCCCTTCCCCCACTAAGAGAGCCTGACATTGACCAACAACTCCCCAGCCTCCACCCCCACCCAAGAGAGCCTTCCACTACCACCGCCCCCCATACACTGGCAACTCTCCCCACCCCAGAAAGAAAGAAGACACTCACCTTCACAGCTCCGGACATCCCCTTGAACAAGAATCAGGCTCTGTATACACCATCAAGCAGCCCGCAGCCTCTCTCAGATCCCACCTGGTCCCCATGCTGCGTGTGTCCCTTCTTCCATCCCTTTCAGTGGGCGGTGCTGCCCCCCTGAATAATGCTGACTAGGAAAATGCCCAGTTTGCCTTGTGGTAAATATGCCCCTGTATGGGGGTTCTTCTGTCTGCGCCAGGTAGGCAAAACTGCAGATTATGGTGCTGTTG